GATGGAGACCTCACCCCCTACAACATATCTAACGGAATAGTCTATACCTGCACCCGTTACAGTGAACATTGCATATATATACCAAAAGGCCATATGTTCAATGGAATGACTATTTGAGAATATGTCATTTCCGAGATTCACAACAAAGGACACCACAGTGCGGACCACAACCTTTAATATGCTTCAGAATATGTTTACTGGCCTGAGATGCGCAAAGATTTCCGTGATTTTGTCAAACAATGTGAACTCTGCCAGGCAAATAAGGAGCGAACACAACTACCTGAAGGAAAAGCACAGACCCTCCAACTACCATGTGAAATTTTCGAATCATATGCCGTCGATTTCGCAGGACCATTCAACAAATCCGCTGGATATGACACCATCTTGGTAGCTGTGGACCGATTTTCTGGATATACCTGGCTCATACCAATAAAAGTTACCGATTCCTCCCAAGACACCTGGAATAACCTCCAACGATACCTGTTTACCCCCCATGGGTACTCCTTATCTATTGTCAGTGATGCTGATCCCCGCTTTACCGCTAGATTCTGGAAGCAAACCTTGACCTCTCTCGGAATAAACCACATTATGGCTGCCCCTGGACACCATGAGACTAATGGCCAAGCAGAACGAAAATTCTGGGAGGTTAAGACCGGAATTAGGAACATGATCAATGAACGACAAACCAACTGGGAACCAGCCCTAGTTGAACTGGCCGCATATCTCAATGCCAGATTTTCAGATACCCTGGGAATGTCACCATACAAGGCAGTCTTTGGCCATCAATACCCCCTCCTACCTACAACACTATTTAAGAACTCCTCAGTCCCTGCCTCTGATGACTATCTAAACCGCCATCACACAATTCGGAACGATGCCTTCCAAGCCGCTAAAGCTGCCTGATTCCGAAGCACCACTACTGCTCAGAAACGACGACGCAAACATGTCCCCATCCTACCAGGTAATATGCTCATGGTACATGGTAACATGTTCATTACCAATGTCAGACGTAGCAAGAAATTGCAACCCCTGTGGCGAGGACCCTTCAAAGTCTTATCTTTTGATGAGCATACAGAAAACTACACTGTCCAGATGGATGGACGCATGTACCGCCGCAATACCGTGGTCTTCCATGCCTCTGCTGTCAAGTGATTCCACCCAAATGACGACGCCAAATTCCCTGTGAAGAACCCACTCACAACCTGCACCTATCGTCATTGATAAAAAAGATGAATGGGAAGTTGAAGAAACCAGAGACCACCGCCTTTGGCATGGAAATGATCAGTTCCTAGTCAAATGGAAAGGATATCCAACAAGTGAAAACAGTTGAGAACCACTGGAAGGACTAGAGCACGCTATGGATATGGTGAACGGATGGTGGAAAGACAATATGCCAAACGGATCTCTCCCCCCAACGATCAACTACATCACCATGTGCTGGACACCCACGATGCCGGAAACTGAGCGATGGCATGCAGAACTCGAAGCTGGAGATGGATTTTGGGCGCCATACTTTGAGTCAGAATTCGAAAGCAGCAATGAGGAAAACCAAGCTATGGAGCAGGCTCTCGACAACCTTATCTAGTTACCAATCACCATCCGAATACTATAACGATGTCAAACTATGGGGAAGTCAATGTGAGGCTGCGACAACAGATTTTTGGACTGTTGTTGAACCACGATATTATCTAACTTGAAGACTATTTCGAAATCCTCTGGATAGACTACTGTCCTGATTGCGATCACGCTTGGGTTGATGTACAGCGCGAATCTGGTATTCGTGACTACTGTGATTTACCTTTCTTTGAGTCTAAATGTTTCCTTAGGGTTTCTTCTTGCCCCTGGTGCGACACCTATGATGAAGAATTTTTAGCGGAAACTGAAGTCTTTAGTTTCTCAGACTCCGCTTTTGATGATTATTAGGTTTTGTTTCTTTAAACACTTGTTTTGTTTTGGGGAATGTAACCGGTACGGGTACTCAGTTATTGGTTTTGCTTTATGTTTTGTTTTAAGTATCGCTTTGATACTTGGTTTGTTTTAAGTATCGTTTGATACTTGGTTTTGCTTTATGTTTTGTTTTAAATATCGCTTTGATACTTGGTTTGTTTTAAGTATCATTTGATACTTGGTTTTGTTTTATGTTTTGTTTTAAGTATCGCTTTGATACTTGGTTTGTTTTAAGTATCGTTTGATACTTGGTTTTGTTTTATGTTTTGTTTTAAGTATCGTTTGATACTTGGTTTTGTTTTGTGTTGTTTTAAGTATCACCTTAATACTTAATGAGCTTCGCCAAAGTGTATCGATTGATACCTCTGATTAGTTTCGTTCATGTTTGACATGAACAGATTTGTGTATTTAAAGACAGCCTGATTCCACGATAGAAAAGACAGACTTCGACAAACAGTATTTCAATATACTTGATTGAATGGTTACTTCTTTGTTCCTCAGTATACCCTCGAAGCCTCCTTTAGTTCTCAGCTCTCCCCTCCTCTCTGGAAGAGCAGGCCACCTGCCAACTATCATACCTACTACTGTTAACGGGATTAGCACCTTGTGAACACATTACAGTGACGCTCTTCCTCTATGCCAGAATACCAAGGAAATCATCCAAGTTAGCCCAGGTCACGCAGCAGGACGCAGAGGCTTGCCTGAAGGCTAGGGATAAAGTTAGGAAAGAGATATGGCAAAATTGAATGCAACAGCCGTACCCACATTACTACAAGTATAGGCCCCCGTTTAGAAACTGTTGGAGTTTTATGACTCTACCGAAGTTTCAGGCTGGATGGATTCACCAAATGAGGGCTCATAAAAGCTATCTCAATGCACATACAGATTGGTCCAACCGAGACCAGTATCACACATGCAGCAGATGCTGTGGGGTCCTGGAAACCTTGGAACATGTCATGGAATGCCCGACATTGGCTGAGGCCAGGAAGGGTTTGTCACCGGAAGCTTTCAATGTGGCACCGGATTCAGGGCTGTAGAAAAGTGGCGAGAGGGCACGTTCCTTGTAGAGGGATTTTGTCTTTTATATGTTAAGAAATAGGATTAATTTCCCGACAAGGATGGGGGTTTTTCCTTTTACCACAAACACTGGATTGGCATCATGAAGGACTAAATTGTGTTGCAATAAATGTCAGAAGGAGATAGTGATGTTTCATCGATAAATTGTTATTTTGGGGGGGGAATGTTTCCTTTGTTATATGGGTTTTTAGGTCATACCTTAGAGTCTATACCATGGATTTTTCCTGTATTAGTTTACAAATAAACCGCGGATTTAACAAAAAAAAAAAAAAAAAAACGCTCCGGCCTAGGAAAAACGCCAAGATTAGTCATCATGTGAGAATAGCCAGGAGAGGATGCGAGAAGCTTATTGATACCTCAGCGATCACAGTTTCTAACCGAGTAAATTTAAATAAAAGCATAACAACCGTGCGAGCAAACGAAGGAGACAAAATTGGAGCAACCGGACCAAGACGAACCCCCATCCTCGCTACAATCTATAGACAAAAGAAGCTCAAATGCCGCGGGCAGAAAACTATTTACCAGGCCAGGTATCAGCCTTGTCCTCACCAGCTACCTATAAACAGCAACATCCCTTCAACCTCCCTCTACCCCACTATCATTCAACGATATCGCCAATTTCTGCCCTGTCTCTCCCGCCTCACCAAGCCTCGCCAAAACGCCGTAAACAGAGCGTTTTGGTGCATGTTCCACGTTATGCACGGAATTTCCACGAACCAGAGTCAAGCTCTACAGACAACCTGTGCACACCCCGAGTGCCTTATATTACTCGTACTCGTGCAAAAGGAAACCAAGGCGCGCATGTTTTCTCGTTATCAAGGAAAAAAAGTGCACGAAAAAGTGCAGAACGCAACTTATCCCCACCGCCGTAGATCACGCTAAACATGACAGCCATTCACCACGGCATCTCGCATTGTGATGGACCGCCTCAAAAACCCCCACCCATGTTGAAGTGGTACAGTTAGCGAAAGCTACGGGAGTTGTAGTACCCTAACCCCGCTTCACTATCCGTATCATACTCGAGGAGTACTCCTATGCTGCTGCTGCACACGAATACTATCATAATTATGCGTCGGGAATAATTCCAACATTATAACATCGTACAGGACGTCACCCGTGAACCCTCCCGGTCCGCATCACGGCGAGAAAACCCACTGGCTCGAAAAAAAGCAACACGATATTCTATTCACAGCACTTCACCGTACTGTCCTGTCCTCATACGCAAGAGGCAGACAGCGCCGCTGGAAGGAAGGAGGCAGAGGTGGATGGGAACGAAAGGAAGAACCCCACTCACCCACTCAACCAATCAAGAAAATCACAACCCCTCACTCGCTCCACCGTTTCCACACCTTCGCACAAAAAACAAACTTCAAACATCCAATGGCGAGAAAACACACGCGAGGCCGAGTCCTGCACCTCACGCTAACGAAGGGAACGAACGAGTTAGGAACCTGACCGCCCAGTGCGAATGGTTATTTACTGCGCTACATGCTGTACGATTGAGAGTGATTGAGGCGATGGATCGGATTGGGCTATATTTGTAATATCGTATCGTATCGTACCGTACAGAAAGTGAGGAGAAGAAAAAAATCGCCCCCGCTTTTCTTAGATTTTGGTGTGCGGGCTATATTTTCTATTCACCGAAGGGGAGTACCGATGCTAGCGCGGTGGCGAGCGTCGTGGTAAGGTAAGGCGAGGTGGGAAAATGGGTGAGAAATTCTTACTTCGGTCCTTTGATATTCGAAAGAAATTTATAAACGGTATGCTATGATATATATAAAAAACACAGTGATGAAATAAAATGGGAAGAAAAAGAGGGGGGCAAAAAAGAACGCCTTCCATTATATATTGTTGATATTGTAACATCATCCCCCATCATGCAAACCCACGTATGGCATTCCAAATTCATTATCTACCCATTGTAAAAGTAAAACGAAAAAAAAAAAACTCCCAACAAAGATGTGGATATGGACCCATCAAGCTGACCGCCCTTCGAAAATGCCCGACAAAAACTCCTTCGGCTTCTTAGCCTCTTTGTGTTCTTTCGCGGAAGAAGCGGACGAGAGCGAAGACTTCCTCTCCTTCTTCTTTTGCTTCTCGGTGGGCAGTGAAGTCGTAGACCCAGCCGGGGACGAGAACGGAGACGTAGTCAGTGAAAAGAATGGCTTCTTCTCCTTGGTGGGAGTAGCGGCGCCGCCATCGACAGATGTCTTGCGCTCCTTTTTATCGGACTTTTCATGTTTGTCGTGGGATTTCGAAGATGACCCGCGTCTGCTAGACGGCTCGGAGGATTCGTGCTTGTCTGATTTGGAAGACGATTTATCCTTCTCCGACTTGCCCTTCTCCTTATCGGATTTTGACTTGCTGTGGTGGGAACTGCTACCGGATTTCGATCTTGACTTTTCGGACTTATCCTTCTCTGACTTGTCATTGCTGCCGCGGCGCTTCCTATGATGTCGCTTTACGCCCTCCTCATCACCGCTGTTGTTGGTGCTGTTGCTGTTGCTGCTGTTGTTGCTGCTGCTACCGCTGCTACCGCCGCTCGAGGCGCTTGAGATGTCGAAAGCTAATACTTCGCTTTTGCCAGTGGGGACCGGGGAAGTGTGAACGCGAGCAGGCATGAGCTGTCGGCGTTGAGTGGGGGCCTCGGACTGTGCACGTCTTAGTTCGGGTTGGGCTGGTGGCGTGGGAGCAGCTTCAATCATCCGCTGTTCTCGGGGGGGTTCGCGGACAATCTCTTCGACGGGCTCGTCCCAATCACCCTCCGGGTATTCATCCTCGTCGCCGCCCGATAGTGATGCTTTCGCTGCTCCTCCGCCGACGACGTTCTTGATAATCTTGTATCCACCCAATACAATCACTGTAGCCGCTGCGCCGACGCCCGCAAGGACGACAAACTGTGGACTCCCCAGTAATGCAAAGATCATAGGGAACAGGGTCTTCAAGCCCATGATTGCTGCGGGACTGACTTTCGCTACAAGAGCGGATATTTCGGCGAGGGTGAAACCGACAACTGCGAGGGTATCCGGAACCTTCTGCAGCTCGGAAATGAGCGCCGCAATACCCGCTGACCAACACGATAGCTCATCGATCGTAGCCTGTAGCTGCAGGAGGAGGAGTTGAAGATTCTCCGTCATGGGATCCGGTTGGGAGAGAACCATTTCGGGGATCAATGAAATGACCGACATATTTCCGCGTAGACCCCCAGGGGTAAACAAGGTCGCTTCGGTCCGCATAGTCTCGCTGCTGTTCGACCTCGTCACGCTATGATTATTGTTTGTGGTGGTGAGAACAGTGCTCCCGGAGTTGTCTTCGAAGCTAATGTCCGAGCCGGTGCCCGAGGATGACGAGGAGGAAGATCTCTGCTTTTTCTCCTTCTTCTCCTTCTTTCGCCGGCGTCGCTCCTCGTCGTCTTCGATCATTAGTACGCCGGTATTGGATCGTTCTAGTCGGCGAGCCGCTGATGCGCTATGCTTTCGGGCGGCGCGCAGTCGGGCTTCGTCGCGGCGGGCACTCTGGCGGGCACGCTCCTCGGCTATTTCAGCTTTGCGGGTGCGGTAGGCGGTGCGAGCTTCCTTGAACGCTGAGAAGATATTCTTGGACTGTTCAATTATTAGCCACGGGACAGTCGGAAGGGAACCGCAACGACGGATACCACACGAAAAAGGAAAAATCACATTGTTTTGATCCAGAGGTAGACAGGTAACGATTGACAGATGGTGCACGAAAAGTGAATACGGGAAATCTCAATACAAACATACCGTATTAACCACCTTCCCACTGGTATCCATCACCGTGATGGTAGAAGCCAGAGCAGGGACATGTGAGGCAGCCTGAAGCGCCATATTCAATCCTTCCGTTGTCATGATTTCAATGGTCACGGGATTGCAAGATTCTTTTGTTGTTTCACAAATGTTCAATCCAAACCAGGATTATGGGACTCTCGTTACCGATAATGAAGAATTGAACAATGGATTCTGCGCTTGATGTATATGTATGTTTCTGGTCAACAGAAAGGGGTGATAATGATAAACGATCCAGATCGTTACGGTGGTTTTTATAAAATGTAGACAGAGCAAAAGACGAAAAGGGTGAAAAAGTGGGATAAAATGGCGGGAACAAGAACCTCTTTTGTATTCATCGAGTTGCGCGGGAGACGGCTACGAGTACACAAGTGGGACGAACAGCACTACATAATATTGCCCCCCCGTAGTTTCCTGCACTGTAGGGGAGAAAAGCGGGCTCGGATGGGACTTTCACACTCCCCTGGGGGTCTAAGATGCATGCTGTTGAAGTTTGCTGGCGCTTGTTGATTGGCTCGATACAACATGGGCAGATGTTTGGCTAGTTTGGTGCTCGAGTACTTACATAGCGCGTTGCTTTGTTATTTGTGGGAATGTCCAACCGCCGCCACATGTGGCGGTAAAGGCGGTGCATGCTTGTTTCGCTGGCCAGTCACACCCCCTTTTGTCCTCTATGTCCGAGACGTGAGATCTACAAGTACTTGTTAGCGTGATTAATAAATTCTCCAATTCCCTCAATCACCCATCTTGTGGCAGGAATTAACACCGGTAAGATGCCTTATGCTAGAGTAAGAAAAAAAGGTGATCGAGGGCTTTTTGGTCATGAGCTCCCCCTCTCTCACTTTTCTCTCTACCTCTCAGCGCATCTGTACGTCATGAACGAAATCGGGCCACTCGGAAACGCCGTCTGGAGTGAGGAGGACGAGTTAACGTCGCTCGCGAGTTTGCCGTCCAGTCTGCAGTGAAGCTGCACCTTCTCAGAGGCCGACTCGAATCCTTCATGCAATGTAGGGCAAACAAGTGAACCTGATGGGACAACATAATGGAATGAAAAGTGGGGACATAGTGTGCTTGAGTAGGAAAGAATTGCTGTTGGTATCATACCGTACAGGTATGAGACCAATTGAACGAGACCCAACATATTTGTACACATGTATCATCCCATACCATACCTGTACCCCAAATATCATCACTTTAGCGAGCGCGAAAAGAAAAAAAAAAAAAATGCCGGTAAATGTGACGGAACCATGTCGTGTTTAGCTTAGCAGAAACGGATTCTAAACAAAATAGTTTTCAACTCCACGGGACGAGCAAACGCCCGTTGAAACCCTGACCCTTGTTCAACAACGACAACAACAGCAAACTCAGCAGGCAGGGGAAGAGGGCCTCGCTGGCGAGCAGGGGAGAGAAGTTCTTGATAGAGTTAAATCCAGCGATTGCAATGGTTTTGTTGGGGCTCGGGGCACGGCATAGGTGGTAGGCACAGGTGCTCCAACACAGGGATTAAAATTCCGTATGCCAGATTATCTGTGCACACCCCCAGAGCCCATTGTAAATTCGGATTCCAATACTGGGTGCTGCGGACCAGATGCTAGTAAACCAAAGTAAGCAAGCGAGTGACTACACGTGAACTAACACCCTAGCCTCACGCGAAAACGCAGTGAGCTGAGAAAACCACCGGAGATTCGAGTGGCCTCCCGATTGGGGAAATAGCCATTGGGGCGGTCGTACCTGAGAATGCACCACAACGGGGCACACCAAATACCAAGGCGCGCAATCTGTGAAATTGAGGCAAATTCCAAGTTAGCAAACTCGAGAATACCATAGGCGGAATCTTGTGTTAAATATATTATATTTATGTGGAAGGTGCTCCGTCGAGCCAATCTATCGGTGGGCTAACGGTATTATGGAGAGATACACATTCAAGTGAGATGAGTATTTGAGAACCGCGATTCATAGCCACTGACTTGGCACCCAATTACTAACACCAACCCGTTATCCCTATGAATAATGAATAACCTAAATTACCGGTATATTAATATAGGTAATGGCGAGAGGAATTCCCTTAGGAAATTGGTAATTATTATCGAGGCCCAGCAGGTAACCTCCCGTCCTCGAGAAGTATGGAGGGCCATACTCGAGTAGAGTAACCGTCAGATGCCTACCTACATTCCCCTTGCTCGAGTACCGTATGTCGGTTCGAGCCTCAAATTTTGTCGCAGTATTGATGACAGCACCAAGCAGGTGCAGGTAGATTGAGCTGTGCCTGCTGCAAGCACTCTCCCAGATGGCTTCCAACGCTTTTTAGATTCACTTCTCTAGAATGGGGGCACACTACTACCGTAGGGTGAGTGTCAGGAGAATTCTGCCAAGACAGAATGCCAACTCTCAGCACTTGGAGAGAGACATGTCAAGGCAGTTGGCTGGCCATGGTGCTGACGACGTGTACGGTACGGTACGAATTCTAGGGCGGAGTGGGGCCTGGGATACTGTAGCTCTTGCTGGCTAAGCAGTGACTCATGAGCCACGTACTCGAGTACTAGTACAGTATCTTGCTCTGAATGGTACGAGTGGGGTATCTCGGGTATTGCCGTTCCCTGCCTGTGGCCCAGCGGGAGGGACTGGATGGCCGATGGTGTTTCCGAGTGAGAGTTTCTCATCAGAAGAAAGCACGGGGGGTCCTACTAGAGGGCGCAAGTGGCAAAAATGCGAGCAAAACTGGTCTCGGGAAAACAACGTGCAGTGAATAAACGAGGAGGTAAAAATCTTGGATTCGGGTATCGTACGGGTATACCTTCTGAGGTATCGTACGATACCGTGCAGCTAAGTAGATTGTGTGATTTGAGCAAGTTAACTCGTGATCTAGTAAGATTCCTAAAGGGCGGTATAGATAAATCATGGTTTGTCACCCGCTTTTTCATATCTCCATTAATAGTTAAGATTATGGAGTGGTAGATATCTCCTAGAACTCTAGTTATCAGAAAGCACGGAGTGACAAACGAAGCCCAAGTTGATTGGACAACTAGGTAGCGGGCTTTAGGCAAAATAAAGTCCAAGAAGCGGAGGGGTGCCCATTTGCACACCGAATAAGGAGGTACCGCTAGGTCGTTACTTGCGATACACCTTTCTCACGAAGGCTTAGGTTAGGAGTAAATCGGCAAGACCTCCGTGCGCCTATCAATACCCACTGTTCTCCGATATCCTAGCAGCATATTCCGATCTCTGGCACTGCCATCTAGATTTTGGTTAACTATTGCATAAGGAATGCAATTGGGGTGTGATGTATTACCGGGAACCTGAGAACAGAGGAGATGTTATCGGGTGAATATCACTCGATAACCGAACGAAAAGGGCTGAGTGAGCTTGAATAATTTTCAGGCATGATATTATAACCTGCGGTAGCCGTGGCGGTGGCTTTTCTGTGGAGGGGGGGGGGTGGAATATTGGTTAGAAGCCGGGGAAATTGGAAACGCTTCAGTACCGTACAGTAGGAGCGGAGGGAAATAAAGATTTTAGGTTTGTCGCCCCATAGAACGTGAGGCACAATGATGGTGAATTTATGTACTATTATAAATATTATTATGGTGAGATGTAAATGGGTGCGCTGCTTGCTGGACAACCACATCTTTTATAGGTCGCAGGCGTTCCCTTGAGGTATGGAGATCCTTCTCCCTTCCAATTTTCCATTACCTTCAATCCAATTATTATCCATGCAGATCTAGGCTTGCTTTATGGGGCTCTTGCCGTTCTCTTGCCCAACAATGACATTTGAAGCAAGTTTAAGGTAAAGAAACAAATAAAATTATGACAAAAGAAGCGGAAAATTCTTAAAACATCCCACAAATATCCTTTGGCAGATTCTTGGATAATTTACTCCTCTTTCCCTGCTTCTGAGCAACAAATATTTCTTGCTATTTTTGCTTACTAAGATATTATAGAACCCCCCCTTCTATCCCAATTTTCAGAATCCCCGTTTCAATCAACCCCCCGAGTTCGATCACCGAAGGCCTTCTTTGCAACATTGAACTGTGGCGGGATCAGGACTTTACAGGAGCGGGACAAGATTTCGGGAGCTTTTCGGTTGCATTGATACTCGAGTAGTTGATTCCCTGCACGGTCGACTCATTTCTCGCTTATGCCTAGGGATATACCGGTATTTCGCTTGGAAAGAAAAACCCTGACTTCAACCGTACCGAGTCGGTCATCATGTATATGTTTTTACTGAAAGAGATACGGGCTGAAAGAGCCTGGGGGTGGGAATGGTTGGGGTTGGTTGGCCTTATTTCTGGTGGTACGTACCTTAGGCCGGCAGTAACTAAATCGAGCATCGGGCCTAAGATTTGACGATTTTTTCCCTTCCTCAAGGGTTGTAGAATAAAAGGAGCCTTGTTTCTGGCCTAAGTTCTGTCTAACTCATATAATGTCATCTTCTCTTGCACTTGATCGATCCTCATCATGAAATTCCAACTGCTGCCATGATTCCCCTCCCGCAACAACGCCGCTTCGACGAGAGACTTGCGCGGCTCATGCAATTGGTCCGCTACGAGCTCCGTGGCTTGGACGCCCTATCGTTCGAAGATAGCGGGGTAATAGAGGCAGCCCTCGCAGAAGTTAGGCGGGCAGATACGGATATCATGAAAGCCTTACTTCCGCTCATTGCGCATGTCAACTATATCGACGATTGTCTGATCCGCAGAGAGGACATGTGGGATACCACCAGAGCGGTACTGCTATGGTTTGGTGGGGTAGACACTTTTGGAGGACTTATTTCGGGAAAGAGAGGTGGGTTTAATCGAGTCCTCTGGAGAGCAACCGATTCCTTTGAATCGGCTTTGGCAACGACGGAAAGGGCATTCAAATGTGGAGAAAAAATGGCGGTTGCGACCAGCAGGGTTTGCAATAAGAATGTGTTGATGCTTCAAGGGGAGATCACGAATATGGGCCGGGAGCTGCAGGGTGTGGCTACGCTATGCGCTGAGGAGGAAGAGAGTGTAAAGCTTAAAAGCAAATATCTGGAAGATAGGTTGAAAGCGGAGTTGCGGGGAAGAGAGGATTTGGAAGATGAGATATCGGAGGGAGTTGAGAGAGGCGGCGGGGTTTTGAAGGTGAGTTATTACATGGGGCGTGGGGACAAGGTTTGAAGCTGACGGCACCAAGGCCTCGGTAGACAGTGCTAGGGCAGTGGTGTTAGCTCTGTGCTTCGCATTCACTTTTACCATTCCCAGGATTTTCTCATTTGGGATTTTTGCGAGTATTAGTGTTGTCACCTTTTTCGCCTCGTGGACAAAAATATTGTGAGCATTTATTCAATTGGTAAATTCAACGGAGGGTCACTAAAGAGGGTACAGTTATCGAGAAAAAGATACACAGAGAATCCAGAACAAGATAGTCTACTCTGAACATAAAACGGAGGAACTAGAGCGCCAGTTAAAAGCGATTAAGGGGAGGACATCACAACTCCACAAGGTAACAGAAGCGTACCAGGAAGCTCAACACTTGTTCAGTCTACTATCGCCGAAAGCCAAGTCCATGCAGGTGATGACCAGTCAATTCGAAACCCTTCTTAGTAGGCGGAAAACTTTGGCGGAAAATCGCGCCACTAAGATCCACAACCTTAGACCTCCGGACTCACCATCATGGTATCGTCCCATTAGGTTAGACGTTGTTGATCTCTTGGAGGAAATATTAGAGCATTTCAAGCAGGATTACGAAGAAGATACGTACACAGGCGAGGAGGAAGCTATCATCTCAAACTTAGAGGAGAAACTTGGCTGTGTACGAAGAAAAACCGAAATGATCCAACGGATTCACAGCCGTATCAGGGCCGAGAGCGATGGCGTCAGGGACTCGGATGAGATGCAGAAGGGCTCCTGGGGGCACCTCCGGCTGAGCGCAATAATACTCCTTGGAACCTCAATGGCTGTCTTCTACGCTTGGAGTCGCCGTCGGTACTTCCTCCAGGGTGCGAGATTCGTTACATGGCAGGTTAGGCGATCAATCCTATGGACGCTAAAAGGCGTGATCATCAAACTCTGGCAGACGGTAGTAAATATGTTGTTTGGTCTGAGAACTCCCTTCCGCCTGCTCTGTGCCGTGGCGCCCAACGTAGTCCACTTTGCTCTAGGCGTCTTGTTATACCTGGGCCGTTTGGTTATCGCCTACGCATTCATGCTCCCCGTAAAGATACTGCTAGTGGTGGGGTTTCTGTTGTTCAGGGTATTCACAACAAGGCTGGTTGTTCTTGGGGTTATGGGTTGGTTTTTGGTGTATCACGGACCGGCCTGGGATGAGATTTGGGGGTTTGTGTATAGCTGGGCTGCTTGGGGGGTGGAGGCGGGGTGGAGGTGGCTGTGGGAGTTTTCGGGGTCTGAGGGAGCTAGTCAGGCATTGGTTATTGCGTCGTGAGGGACGCTAGACACAAATATGAGGGGGGGGGATCGAAAGGGGAAATTTGGGTGTTCTGTTGGAATTGGTGCTGTTAGGGGGGCCACGGAATGATAGATAATAGAATTGTGTAGAACTCGGGAGCCTTTGCCTTTCCACCAAACTTTCACACCTCTGGGAGTGTCTTCCGAGTGATATGATATGATATGCTTACAATAGTGCCGGATCTCAGAAGATATCATACATATATAAACAGACAACTAAACGGATTCCCTCTATTAACGATACTGAATTGATCATGTACCCATTACCGGGCCCCGTGAACGTGACCAGCGTCCGAAAAAGCGAAAACTAGAACTCACCACCTAAAGATTGGGCTTCTATGATACGTTTCAAGTTTCCTTCTCATCCCAGTAAACCCCAACCTTGGCCTTTCCCTCTTTGTCAATGTAACCCCTAAACATGCCCCCACAATTCATGGACATCACCACATTTCCCTTTTCATCCAACCCGATCACGCCTCCGGACCCATCCCCCAATCCCCACCCCTCCCCAGCAGCCCTCTGCATTTCCCCGCCCCGACCAACAACCGCCTCCGCCGCCTCCTTCAAAATGAGGCCACCGAAGCGACAACGGGCGGTGATGTTATATGCTGCTGCAAGGCGAAGAAAGTAGTCTCCGTTTCCGGTGCCCGAGAGGGCAACCGCGCGGGTACGCGGTTGTGTGGGATGGTCTACATTTTCTTCTAGTAACGGCTGTTTTTCGCCTGTGAGTGCGGGGGCAGCGTTGGGCATGCAGGCGGTTAATAAACTCCAGAGAGATGAAATCGACGGTAAGGGGATACTAGGCGACGGTGCAGGAATAGTGCTTACTCGCCATTCCTCCGCCCAGAACCCCGCAGCAAGGGTCGGTGTGTCGCCGATTCTGCCGGGGAGCTTGTTGGTAAGGCCGCCGGTGCTCGTAGCTACACAGAGGGTTCCGTGAAGGTCCATTGCGATGCAGCCGACGGTGCCCTGGGATAGGTATTCCGCTTTTTCCGCTTGCGGGTCTTCGTCAGGGACACCATCGCTGGCAGAGTACCCCTTCTCCTTCTCCAAGCCACGTAAATGCTCCTCCCACCGCCTCTGCGTCCAAAAGTACTCCGGATCCACAATTTCACACCCCCACTCCTCGGCCAGCCTCTCCGCCTCCGCTCCTGAGAGGAAATTATGTCCGTGCCCACCACCCACACTCATACCCCCGTCCTCCTCTCCACGAACCAGCAACTCCCTCGCTAGCAGAACCGGGTTCTTGACCCTGGTCAGCATGGCGACACCAACCCCCCTCTTCCGGTACCCGCGCGAAACCATAACCGAAGCCTCGAGCTCGTTCCTCCCGTCGCGCGTGAAGACAGAGCCCTTGCCGGCATTGAAGAGTGGGTTGTTTTCTAGCAGGGTTGCGGCCTGCGTCGCGGCGGTTAGTGCCGAGTGGCCGGCGAGGAGGAGTGGGCATGTGGTTTGGAGGACTTGGCGGAGGGAGGTTGTATAAGCTGTGTAGAGTGGGGAGGAAGGTGGGAGGGAGGAGTGTGAGATCGAGCCGGCGCCGCCGTGGATGATTAGGGAGGGTTTCTGGGGCATTTCGATTGTTGTTATTGTGGGTGGTGGAGGAGGGTGGGAGGAGAAGTTAGTGGTATGGTATCATAATATTATGATGTGGATGTTGGAGTCTGGTTCTTGGAGCTCGCGTCGGAGAGAAAGGAGGTTGGAGCGGGATTAGCGTGGTTGGAAACGGTTTAATGTGAAGGGAGCAGTGGCTTGGCAGTGCTGGTGTGGACTTCATGATACTGGTCGCTCGAGTCGTACGAGTACAGTACTCGGGTGTAAGGGTATTTCAGGACCGGTAGCACAAAACTCCCGGGCCATTTCCTGTTAGTAATACCCCTTTCTATCGACCAGGTAATCGGATTTCAAGACATCACGTTCCTCACAACAGCCATAACAAAAACAAGCACCAAACACGATGCAACAAAAAGGAATTTGTGAACAAAACCCAGTTGGTGTTTGACATCGTGAAACTACGCGTGATAAACACGTTCAGGTTATTACTCTTTGAGAGGGTGCAGGGTGGAATGGGACAAGAATTAGTAGATACCTTAACATTAGTTGGTGAGCTTGTGAAAAGGTAAGTAGTCTAGTTTCATTGCAAGAAGAATATCAGATCTAATAGTATCCTTATAGATTTATAGGCGGGCTAAAGAAAATGGTACCCTGTCGAATGCTTATCGTTCAGGTCGCCCTCCAATCTTTAATGATGAGGAAAAACAACGCTTAGAGGATTTGTAACCCACAATGCCCGAACACGACGCCTCAGCTGGGATGAAATATGCATAGAATTGGGATATGCTTGGTGTGCACATACTGTAAAGTATATGATAGAGTCAATAGGTTATCACCGTCGAGTACTGAGAAGAAAGTTCGCTATTTGGCCAGCGAATTGACTGATACGAGTTGTATAATGTCGTGAACGATTAAACTGGACCTATAAGGACTGGCTCCAAGTTCCATAGACAGATGAATCAACCTTTTCAACTACTGGCTTTGGGAACTGCCTGTGAGTATTGCGAAAACCTGATAAAGAGTGCCATCTTGATTGCATTGATGAAACTTTTGAGTCTGGATGGGAATCACAGATGGTATGGGGTACCTTTTGCGGTACCATGAGGTCAAAACTAGTTTTTATCTCTCCCAAAGCCAAGGTTGACTTAGCCCTTTATGTCAGAAACATCATGTATCCACATCTTGTGCCTTTCTGGCATCTTTGTTGTGAATATTGTGGATGGGCAATGGTTGTAGTGGATGGGACCCTGGGCTACAAGGGTTTCACAACTCAGTATTGGGATTTAAATGGGGTAGAGACTACAAGATGGCCAGCACAGTTACCAGATCGTAACCTGATCGAGGCACTTTGACTTGATATGATAAATGCATTGGAGGAAACATGGGGCTGGATAGGTGATCTTTAAACCTTAGAAACGGCGCTAAAGGCTATTTGGAATGCCATTCCAAACAACAGGCTAGAGGATCTCATTAGAAGCATGCCACAGCATTTGCAGGCTGTGATAGATGCTGAGGGTGGCCCTACTCAATATTGATTTCTGTAGTTTCATTTTTTATAAAGCTTTTTTTATTTTTTATTCGTAAACATATTTACAAAATATCACTCATAAAGTAGCTCCTTTTGGAAGTAGCACTATCATGAATGTGGCTTGGTGAGGTAAAAGGTTTCATGTGACTCATGATTATAAGTTATAGGTATGTTATGGTTTCATGCATATGACTCATTCGAGTCATATGACTTGTTATGTTATGATTTATTATATTTCGCACATGATTCAAATATGAGTCATAGAACCTGCGCCTGGCGAGTGTGCCTTGCAAGTGTGCCTTGCGGGTATGCCTTGCATATATGATTTATGTTTAGTACATGACTACTTTAGCCACATGACTAGTTTGTTATGATTTAATTTCACGCATGTGACCACTTTAGGTCACATGACTTGGAGAGGGGGAAACACTATATGGAGAGGCTGGTACGGCTGAGGAAAATAGATTCTTCACGCTTTGTTCTAAGTGCTTTTCCAACTTATTACTATGACGAATATAAAACACCTTTACGCTCTTTATCATTATTGTAACCTTTATTATTATTTCACCAAGAAAGCTCTTCGGAGAGAAGAGTTAGAGAAAGCTTATGATAGGCGTTTCTGATAGAAGATAGAGGTCTTGTACTATCGATAACCTAGGCATAGGCCTAGAGCTATCGGAAGACTAAGAAGAAAAAGAAGAGAAGTATCGTTCTCCGTCACCAAGAACTAACCATCTGAATGGGGATTGTTACAGGCACTCACATTTTACCAACACTAAAAAAATACTTACCAGCTATCAATTGAACTTCTTAATCTGGCCTCGTCTTCATATAAATGCTGAATATTTTTTTGGAAGTGGTCCCGATTATTATCAACCCCCTAGTACAGTACTATTACAGATGAAATTTGATTTTGCTTTTTTATATTATTTTTAGCTAGTTTCGCAAATCTTTAGCTTAGCTTCACAATTATTTTAGTTAGCTCTTTACTCAGAATGAGGAATCAAATATTGTTTGTATTTACTGGGAGCTGAATAGGTTGTGATCTCAATAGGAGAGGGTTTGCTAGGCTTGGCGGACAGGGGGGTGGAAGTTTAGTCTATATAGCTGCAGTTTTCTTCTCTTATTTTATTTTATTTTATTTTATTTTTTTTTCTTCACCACCACTACCACCACCACCACTGCATTTCAATGGAGGAACACAGAAAGTAGGGAAATGGTTTTGAATTTGTGCCTTGTAGCTAGATAGTTGAACAACCAGGACAGGTTGGATTTTTTTCTCAGGGGGTTTTTTTTTTTTTTGAGGTTTGTCTTGTGCAAAGAGGTGGATTAGCTAGCTTGGAGATTGAAGGTGATCGCAATTGTAAGGCATTTTCTTACTGTTCGAAGGTTTCATCAGTGATAGTTAGTAACTAGCAGGCTCTCATCCTGTAAAGTACATATACCATTCCACTCATTTTTTGTGTTTCATTTGGTGCTCTGAAACGGATAGTCACGATTACTATATCACGACACTAGTTGTTTATCTCTGAAGGTGTTACTGTTAGTTGAGGCTCTCAGTCATAAGGTGTTTGTTGGACGGAAGTTTCTTGAGGCGATTGGTTTCTTTTCTACTTGTGGTTGGAGACTTAGCTTCCTATTAGACCTCTTAATTGTTTTTAATGGCAGCTGCGGTGAAGGTTTCTGTGTTTATGGGGGGTGATAGGGACTATCTGGAGAGTGTCGATAGGTACTTGGAGGATGTAGAGGCTGTGGCCTTGAGTTGGGACAGTTACTGTTCTCCGCATATGGTGATTGACGCGGAGGCTACCAATAAGACTGTTAGGCAGAGACAACTTGATAGACTTCAAGGTTGCCTAGATTAATCGAGATTCATTTTTGTATATGGAGATTGTCTAGGAAGGCTCGGACTTTACTCGTTTCGTTTATGATTACTTGGAGCGAAGTAAAATATGTAAAGTAGGGTAGAATCGTAAAAACAATATTATATTGTTAAGGTCTCTTCTCTGTTGCTTGATGATGTCTAAAGCTTGAGAGGCATTTCGATATTTATATTCTGCATCTGAGTGTTTGCAGACTACATCTATTTATCATACAGCTATGTACTTCTTTAATCATAATTCATGACGTCGAGTTTTCTTCCAAGGTGCGAACACCTGTGGACCCTGAAAACCATTACACCCTTATTGGTAATTATGATATTTCTTCTTAGGAAACGTGCTGTTCCCAATAGTAATATCCCAATTAGCAGAGTCTTTAGACTTATGACCTAGTTCTTAAGTCAAACTGAGTTGGTCCTAATTGTCTTTGGCATTGATAAAATAATCAGTTTTATCAACGGCTATATCTGCAAAGGTGGTGGTCATTTCAACCATCGTAGGTTGTCTGACTCTGATTCTTTGTAACTCCATACCCAACTGATAGACTTTCTCTGGATGACTTCCTATTAACTCGCAGGAAGCTATTCCACCAGATTGGTAATTAATCCCTCGGTCGGCAACCCTTGGTTGCTCTCTGGATAGTAGGTTTCAGTAACTATTGTAGTATTGAGAATCACCCCATGGCTATGACATATTCTGAAATCCAATTGCAACACTATGTGAAGTTTATTGGCTTCTTTGGCAGTGTCTTTTGGAGTTCTAGACTCTTCTGGTGGATGTAAATGTATTGGTCTCTAGTAGAGATTCTTTACCATTTGATACCATCTCTTTGTGCGAAATCGTCCCTTTACCTACAGCCTATGCCAAAGGTGTCATGTCTTTGAAGCCCAGTAACTCTCTGAGTAGTTGACGGAATTACTCCGTTCCACTTCCCAGACCTAGCCGAAGGCCCCCTCCCATATATTCTGCAAACAGGATCCGGTCGGACAGACGGTGGTGACGTATATGGTGTTATTCTAACACCTTCAATTCTGTAGTAATATAGTCACAGGACGCATGTGAGATTGATATATATGATAACGTGCGGGCCGTGTAAGGGAGCTGGAGGGGGGTGTTGGAGATCAGAGATTCCGCCAGTTCTCGAGTGAGGTTACCCTACTTAGGGTGGTTCCTAGATATCGTGTTCTGGTATTCCTAACAAAGATGAAGATTAGATTCTTTCGTCAAAATCTGCGCAGGCAAGGAGATGCATGGCATTGGTGGCATTATGTCTTGGAAGATGTGAAGAGGTCTGACTGGGCGGAGATTAAGAGTGAGTTTACTGCACGCTAAGGAAGCCAAGTCACTCAAGCGGCGAGTCTTTTTGAGGTTCAGAATGAGATTATCTCATTATGCCAAGAGGAGCAACAGCGTATTACCGAGTATGTGCGCGAAGTGGAAAAGCTTTCATGCTGAGTACCAAAGGAGATGGACTCTTTGTTGGGTATCTTGTTTATCAAGGGCATGAGAGATGAAGCCCGCAGGGAGAGAGTGTCCTTTGACCTTAAGGATTCTCCGAATTTTACTTTCGCAAGAGCACTTACTGTGGTGAAGGCAGCCTACCGGATAATCGGCGAAGCGGATCCATTCAACCTAAAGAATAGATCACTGAAAGGCAATGGAAAAGAGAATGGGTATGGGAATGGGAATGGATGGGCCAAAGTAGATGACGATTTCCATC